TAAATCCATTGGTCTCAAATAATTTTTCTTATTTATTATTTCATTTGAGTTTACAATGGTGACAATATCAATATCTTGCATGAGGGTTTCTACACTTGTAAACCATTTACCTTTTACATTCTTATTTACTAAGTAGGCTTCTCTTATTAATAATGTGTTATCAGAGTTTGTTGCCTGGTTGAAATACTTAAGTCGTTGTTTCTTGCTAAAACAGTCAATGGGGTACCTTCCTAGCTCACCATAAACAGCCATTTTTGGAGTGAATTTGGAGACCAAGAATGAATCGAACGCGTCCCCTTACACACAGCACTATATGCAGGGCTAGGTACAAATTCACTACAAACACTCCTGTCACTGTGATGGCCTACTCCGAAGTAAGGAAATACTGCCCAGTCCCCAAGTCATATTAAATTCGCTATTATATTCCCCACTAGAGTAGCGAAAGTAGCATTACAGTTTATATAAAATGCCTATACCAAAATCATTAAATATTAAAACATTGGTAATGGTATTAATACTGAATTAAAGACTCGAACGACCAAGAATTTTCCCAAATTTGTACCCCACTCAAAGAAAATGTCATGTATTCCCGTGTACCTACCGTAGTACGAACACACTGGCAATGTATTAACCGTTATCGTCCGCTCTGCTTTCAGTAGAAATACGAAACATAAAACGAGAACGCAAGAAAGCAAAATATTGCTTTTAAGATCCGCCATCTTGGCTCTCTTGGGTTGTTATAATTTGGGCGAATCCAAACAAAATTAGGTGTGTCAGACTCAGTGTGAGGGACGGTAAACAAATTGTGCTATTTAATTTTGGAATAAATAGCGACAACATTTAGTGCTTTCTATTTCAACATTATTGCCAGCCATATAGTTAAATAACCGAACTAACTTTGGTTTTAAGCGATGAAAAATCAAAATGTTGCGTAAGGAATAACGCGTATCATTTAGCAATAGACTCTTCCATTCAGCTGGTAAACTTTGACCTCTGTTAACACGCTGAGCTAGTCTGCTGCTGATTTTCGCTGGATTCATCATGGCAGTGTCGTTTAAAGACCGCATATTTCGGGCTAAATCACGTCTTCTGTTTGATCCACAATATCTATGGATTGCTGCAGGAGTATTGTGGATTGCAGAGATCGTCGTTAATGTATTGGTAATTCACAATATCAAATGTAAGTGGTACCTTGAATCCTCTTCCGGGGTCGTCGAAGACAATATTTTAACTGTCCGCGTTCATTGTCACGTTGCTCACAATGTTAACACCCGTCTGCTCATTTAGCAAGGGGAACGCTTTAATAACTCTGGGAGGGGATGATAGAAAAACTGTGCAATTGTCTTTTTTTTCCCCTCAAGCCGATTTGTTACAGAATGTTTCCTGCATTATTAGCGTAAAAAAACATGTGCCCCAGAACCCCAACAGCAGAATCATTGGTTCAACCCTTAGTGCCCTTGATATCAATGGAACTGATATCATGTGATCTTTAATACAATGACTGGTTGTATGTTTCAGGGTTATTTACAGGTCACCATACTATAATAAGCCAATTTTATAAAACAAAAAGTTCAGCCATTATTTTAATAAGGTTTTTTGAGGTAGTGCGAGGTTGAGGGTTGTAGTACAGCAGTGTGTGTTGAGATAGTGCGTGATTGAGGGTAGCAGTACAGTGATGTGTGTTGGGGTGTCAGTGTTGTACTTACAGTCTAGGGAGGTTGTGGTACTGGTGGTGTTCTGTTAGACATCCAACACACTGTCTTTCTGTCCAAATGTTTAGGGTTAAATATGGATTTTTCTCAGTAATATAATTTTCTAGC